GTGCACGTACGTACATTGCTCGAAAAGCATGGCGAAAGAATGGCCACCTCTTTTCATCCGCGGGCAAGATCTCGATAATGAAGTGTCAGTTGCTAATTAATCAGTGATTTGTATTACGAGTCTGTGCGGGATCTAATTGTTACGTTGAATGCTTTTTGAGTTCACTGTTTTTGGCATCGATCGAAGAGCAAATCGATGCTCGGTCTTCCCAGGAATGAGGATGAAATCTTTTCTATGTTTTCTTCATCTTTTATTCATGTGTTAATAAGCTGCGCATTATGTTTAGTCTGAAAAGTATCTTGTTGCTATTTGCCACGTCGATTTGAAAGATTACATAACGACTCGTTCAATTATATTTACGATTGTATAAAGGTTCGAATTGATAGGAACATTAATTGAATGTGTTCTAAATATTATTTATCTTTATTGGTGCAAGTCGGTTACAATCCAATTGCTCTTATCGTACAATTGAAGCGTAGCAAGTTGTAAATTGTTCCGTTCTAGAGAATTTGACGGTGGTTCGAAAGTTTTGTTCGACAGGTGAAACATGGTCGATTTTTCTGTCCTTCGCGAACAGTGGCGGCGATCACTTAACCGAGCTCAACAGATTGAGCACTTAAGGTGGAACGACAGAGCTACGGATGAATAATTTTCTCCTATCCATCTAGCGAATTGAAAATTTAAATCGGCGTGACGCGATCGTGACGAGGTGCGCGCCTATCGTGGTTCGTTGCTCCACGTGACGATATCCAATGGCATCGTTTCTTTTATCGATGGTTAATTTAACCCTTCGCGGTCGTATATATTTTATACAAGAGTGACGTGCTGGTCAGAATTAATTTCTATGGACAGGTGTAACATAATGCAAGACTAAAACTTTAGATAAATTTGATACAATAATATAGGTTTTCATACTTTTCTTAAATTATTATGTTATTAATTGTATTAGGTTTTATAGCGCTTCGTTAGGTGGTATCTTTTGAAACATTCATCAATATCAAGTCCTGACTTTCGATAGCCTGTATTAGGAAAATGAACGGTTTGGTGTCTTCTTACTTTGGTTTTTCAGTTTGAATATATGTTTTTTAACAATACTGTCTGAACGAATTACAGCGCAAACGAAGTTAAAAGAATAATATTTTATTTTACAGTGTTTTTCCAGAAAATGTGGACGTTTATTCTTTCCCTTGGCGTTATTGGTTTGTGGTTTAGGTCTTTTAAAATAGATAGTCGACAATTGGACAATTATTGGCAAGGGGAAAAGAAATACACTTGAAATCGTAGTGGGTCTTTAGGGTATTTGCTGATCTTTGCTGTCCGCGGTTGACCGGTAACAATGTTAAATGTTTTGTAACTATATCATCTGCAAGGATCGTTCAGAAGGACAAAATTCGTTGCTTTATCATAGGTAGATTCTCCAATTCCTAAAATTTCAATCTTGATCGTTAACAGCGATAATTTTCCCTCTACCCAGACAGTGAAAACAGAAACGAAAAGAAAGGCAAAAGTTGAAAAACTGATTAATTGGACAATATAAGAATCGATGTAAAATTAAATGAACAAAAGAAAATACCTAATTTCAAATCAAATTTTAAAACCGGTCATCTGATCCGGCATGGTACATTTAGTGTTGAAATACAACAATATAAATCCGTGTATTTTGAAAACGTGATAACTTGACGTGATAGGCGATCAGAATTGTTCTTTGTCACGGTGACAGCAGACACACGACCGGAATAGTAAAAGAGCTTTGGTGGCTAACAATAAAAGCAGATATACGACCGCAAAGGGTTAAAATAGGACGAGGTTGCCCGATGGGAACAACGTTTGACAAACGTGATTCCCGGAAGTGGCTCGTTGTCTATCATCCATCATCATCAAGACCCTTGCGCTGAAGTGTCTCACGTAACGATGATGACCGCCTGGACATGTAAAGTTCTTCAATAATGATCGCGTCATCTTTCACCTATTGCTTGTTACGAACTCATCGTTGCATCGTAACACTTTTTCTGACCCAATTTAATCTCCCTACCGTCGAGAGACAATTGAATAATTCGGGTTCAAACTCATTAGAATGGCATAGCAGTGCCGATGATCTCCCAGGTGGTCTTCCCGCAAAGGAAACTATTTCGTTTGCAGATTCAATCGAGGCCGAATAGAATAATGTGAATCTAATCGAACTTGCGTTTCCGATAAAAAGATAATGTCTTCGAGCGGATCAGCCAAAACGTCCAAGGTAGATAGGTCCACAAGTCCTCTGCCGTGCAAATCCGTGAACCCCGTCCAGGAATTGAAAGCTTTGTTCGCTGAACCGCCATTGAAAAGCACGAATGGCGGCAAGGAACAGGATTTTCGTTTCGAGGCAATACAGTGCTTGCAATCAACCGTCCACAAGGAACCTAAAACGTTGCCAGACAGAGGGATTTGGAGTAGCAAGGTGAACTCCAGCGTGTAAACTCCACGGATAGATGAATAACTTGGACAGAAACAGTCATCGGTATCTTCTTCTAGGTCGAGTTTATCCTGTCGGTAGTAGGATTGGCGATAGGTTTAGGAAATCTATGGCGATTTCCTTATCTCTGCTACAAAAATGGCGGCGGCGCCTTCATGGTTCCTTACTTCATTGCACTCGCGCTCGCCGGAGTGCCTATGTTTTTAATGGAATTATCTTTGGGACAAATGATGACCATCGGCGGATTGGGTGTTTTCAAGATAGCTCCACTTTTCAAAGGTTTGGATTCTTAGTGGATTATCGAGTTAACGGAGTAGCGTATAATCCGCTCATCGTTTAAACACAGGTACCGGATACGCCACCTGCGTGATCTCCTTTTGGATGAACATATATTACATCATTATCTTGGCGTGGGCACTATTTTACCTGTTACTGTCGTTACGAATCGGTATGGAAACTCTCTTAATTCAATACGGCACGATGGATTACTAGTTACAACTAGTAATACCTTTCTTTCCTCTTTGTCTTAGAAATAAGACTCGCAGCGCCCAACGATCCAATGATTAATTTATTTTTTATTTATTAAGAAAGATAAACTGATCCTGTAGATTTGCCATGGAGAACATGCAACAATTCGTGGAATACACGGTTCTGTTTCACCCCTACAGAACGTGCAGAAACAGTGTGTTGGCCTGATGACAACGACACCATATGCGCCACTTCGATTGGCAACTTAAGTCACACCTTAATGAAGGACCCGGTCAAGGAATTTTGGGAGTAAGTTAATAAAAGGAATGTTACGGTCTGAATTTTTAATAGAAATAACACTGGGCTGGTTTGCTTTTTTATCGGAAAGGAGACGCACCCTTCAAATTTCTGATGGCGTAGAGAATATTGGCTCTATAAGATGGGAACTAGCGGGTACATTAGCCATTGTTTGGATCATGTGCTACTTTTGCATTTGGAAAGGCGTAAAATGGACTGGAAAAGTATACCAAATGAAATCATATGTTACTAAAAAGTTAACTGTGTACACTATTAATCGGAAATGCTATTTAGGTCGTTTATTTTACATCGCTGTTCCCGTATGCTTTGCTAGCGGTACTGTTAGTGAGAGGATTAACGTTACCGGGTGCAATGGAAGGTTTGAGATATTATGCAACGCCGAATCTCTCAAAATTGAGCGATCCAGAGGTATTGAAGCATCAATTGTTCCTAATATATTTTGTATCATACTCTCGTCATGTAACGCAATTAAACGTTTGTAGGTGTGGATAGATGCGGTGACGCAAATATTTTTCTCTTACGCGTTGGGTCTTGGTGCGTTAGCAGCACTAGGAAGTTACAATAAGTTTAATAATAATGTTTACAAGTATGTTTTTTTAAATTACTCTTGTAATCATTTTATTATACATTTTCAAAAATAAATAATTAGTTGCTATAAAAACGAATAAACCGATTACTGATGTAGAATTTATTTGCAATGGGAAACACTGAATAATTTTATGGGTCTTTATTATTTCAGGGATGCACTAATTGTTTGTACAGTGAATTGCTGTACGAGTATGCTCAGTGGTGTTGTTATCTTTTCCGTGGTCGGTTTCATGGCTTACGAACAACAAAAACCTGTTGCGGATGTAGCTGCGTCTGGTAATTGTTTTATTCTCAATTAAGTAATAGTGTTCCCTGTATTTCAACTTTGATTTTTCTGTTTCTGTGATTACATTGACAACAGGTCCAGGGCTGGCTTTCCTGGTTTACCCTTCAGCAGTTTTAGAATTACCAGGGTCTTCCTTGTGGTCCTGCTTGTTCTTTTTTATGCTTATACTTATCGGTTTAGATAGCCAGGTAATTAAGAATACTTTGACACAATTGTCATCAACGATTACGACCAATTACTGTGTTTTATAGTTTTGTACAATGGAAGGCTTTATAACAGCCGCGGTAGACGAATGGCCGCATCTTCTGAGAAAACGAAAAGAACTGTTCATCGCGATTGTATGCCTCGTTTCGTATTTCATTGGCCTCAGCTGTGTTACCGAGGTAGGTATCTAACAAAACTTGTAAATCTCGAAATAAATCAAACGGTTACAATAATATATGTAATCCTAACATTCTCAGGGAGGAATGTATATATTTCAACTTTTGGATTCATACGCAGTAAGTGGATTTTGTCTTCTGTTCTTAATATTCTTCGAGTGTATATCAATTTCCTGGGCGTTTGGCGTGAATCGTTTTTACGATGGTATTCGAGATATGATCGGTTATTACCCTTGCGGCTGGTGGAAGATATGCTGGACGTTTACTACTCCTCTCATATGTGTGGTGAGATATTCTATTAAATGTACATTTGTTATTCTCGATATTGTGATGATAAAAGGAAATTTCACGATCAGGGTGTTTTCACGTTCAACATAATTAAGTTTGTCCCTGTAAAATATCTTACATACGAGTATCCATTGTGGAGTCACGTGTTAGGATGGCTTTGCGGCCTTTCATCGATGATGTGTATCCCAGGGTATATGATCTACATTTGGTGCACAACATCAGGAACTACCTCCGAGGTGTGAAATTGAAAAGATCGCGTTGCTCTGATGTTTCAACCCTGTGATCTTATGATTATTAATGGTGCATTTCAGAAATTTCGAAAATTAATAAGAATAGAAGACGATGTTGCCACTTTACGAAGAAAACTGAAACTAACCGAAGCTGCCGCTAGTAAGGGAGACCTCGAATTATAAGTGTTATTGTGCTTTTGTTCAATGACCATTAAAATGCATGAGTATTATTTCAATGTATGACTGTGGAGAAGCATAATTTCATATACTGAACAGTACCATATCGCATAATCATGTAATCATTTACCATAACGAATAAAAAGTGTTTGTATAAAATGAAATTCATCGACAACGACAAGGTACAAATTTATAGTAAAAGTAAGGAATTACTATTTTTACATCTAGTGTACAATTAAGATAAAATAAATAATTTTATTTTCTTGTAACTCACATACTGTCTGATTTTTCTAATCTGTACCACTGAAGTGTATCATATCTATAATACACAGCAAAGATCTTATCCAAAATATATATGAAATTACCCAACATCTATGCTTCAAACTAAGCATATGTTAATAATTCTGTAGGTTTGATACCGATTCGGCGCAACAACTAATCGATGGAGAAAAAAAATATATTCTCTACGAAAATTGTTGAAATTAATTAATATTTTTTTTCTGTTACATTTGTTAATGTAAACTAAGAAACTTTTTTCTAAATTTATTAAGTTACTTATATGCCAGAAAATAAATATTATTTAAGTAAATAAATAATCTTTGCGTATGATCGAGGACATATTTTTAAGCAAAAGTTTAATTTTGAGTACTTAGGGAAATATGTATAAACGAATTCGCAGATTCGATTCCCTGTCGAGAAGAATCTTATAATTTACAAAAACATGATTGTGTTTGACAACCATAATTAATTAAAATCGATAATCATTTTTAAAGAAATTAATTTAAAAAAATACATTTTAAATAAGATCCGCTATAAAAATAAAATAATGGCATCTCATTTATATTAATGAGTTATTTAAATTTGTAACTTGAAGACAGAAGAAATGAAGAAAAATTAATGTCTAAGCTTACAATAAATCACATATACATTCTCATATAAACATTTTGATTCAAATATTTAAACTTATTTTTCCCTATTTTGCATTTCCTTAATGCGTCCAATTAGTTGTTCTTTCCACTGATCTTCGGATATAGTATTTGCCCATTCAGGAATAGCTGTAGTTGGTAAAGTAAAAGATGCCATCATAGATTTCACTTGGTTGATCTTATCTGCATCCATGTCTATGTTTGATCGATTATGCGGTGATGACCAAACCTCAATTGTTTCAGATAAAGAATCCTATAAAAAATGTATGTGCAAAATTAATAAAAGAAATTTTCACAATTCAATTATTCTTTACATTTACACAACTACGTACATGACGTGATTCTAATGTCGGTAAGGGTACTGTTTGACTAGATTCACCATTATTAGATACCCATTCATCGTCCTTAAAAATATCAAATCAGTTATTTAGTATAAGAGTTTAACGTATACAAATTATAATTATAAATGAATAATTTACCTCATCATCAAATAACATTGTATCATTATCTACAGGTACTTGAGACAAGGGTTCATATCCTGACATTCCAACATCATCATCATCACTGTCCGATTCATTTATAGTTCTGACATCAAATTGTCCATTTGGTGCATTTAAAGATTCCTCAATTGGTTGTTGTGTTGGGTCAGGAGACATTGTGCATTACTTTTTTCTTAGTATTAATAGTGTTTCTTATTTCACTTCTAAATACAAATATGATATGTTCAGTATACAGTGGAAAAACCTTAACCTTGCTTTAGATCTTACAACATTTTTTCCATTAAAACTCATCAAATATTTTTTACATGAAACAATTAAAAGTTTAACTATGGTAGCAACCTACAGTATAAATATTTCGAGGCAACTAAATTAAAAGTATTAGAAAGTTGTGAAAAATACAATCGTTTGACAACTCACAGCTGATCGTTTCTGCACACAGCATAGGATACGATACAAACAACGTTATCCTACGGGATTTCTTACCAACGGTTCGGTGGAGTCACTACCATTTCTGTTCTGCGTTCTATATTACCGACGATTTATGATGTTCACGAATTTTTATCAAGAATAAATCATGTTCATACTTCATTCGTAATATATTTGAAAATGTAACAGAAGGATCTTCATTTCCGCAACCATAAAATTTGCAAAATAACAAGTACATTTAACGAATAAATAATGAAAAATATCCTAAAATGTTTAATAAATAAATACATAAACATGTCACTAAAAATGAATCTAATTACATATCTTTACACAATAATATCGGGGTTCATATTGTGCAAACAATAAAAAGAAATGCATTCCTATTAAAACAAAAACCCGTATAAAATATAAATGTCAATTTTCCATCAATTAAAGAATAACCGTTTTGGGAAAGGAGAGGATCGCGTCAAGCGCGAAGGGTACAAGCCAAGTAACGAGCTCACGTTATGATTTTTCTGTAATTTATAATTAATGGTAGAGTTTTCTCGTTTTACAGTAATCGAACAGTTATTAATAGTCTAATTAAATTTCGATTAATTTTTATACAAACAAAAAAAGGGTGAGTTACACTCAACGGCGTAGCACGAACCCCTGCCACCTCGTTTGCGCACGGAAAATAAAGGAGAAAAGAAAACAAAAAGAAATATCGCAAGTATCTGCGTTTCGTCGCCATTCGTTCCCCGTTTCACGTGTCCGCGTTCAGCATCTTGTTCCGATGACAGAGTTTCGCGTTTTTTCCGCTTCCGCGGCACGTCTTCTCGCTTCGCTTTCATATCCCGTTCCACCATTTTTCCCGTTCACGCTCTCAGTCATCCTCTCTCGCGCAACAGGCATCCTCAAACTAGTCCCGTTTTCTCATCCACACGTGCATTTCCCCGCAGAAAATCTCGCAGGGAAAAGATCACCGGAAGCGCGACCAAAAATCGCGATCGGGACGCGTTCGAAAACTCACTCATACGGTCACACAGGCGCGCACACTGTCTCTCGCATAAATAAAACAATTCTACGATAAACGCGGAGTGTACTGTTTCGTATGCACGAGACAAAAGAACCAAAAAAAAGGAAAAAAAGTAGGAAAAAAAAGGAAACGCAACCGCAGTTGCAACCATGCACGCTGGGGGTTCACCATCTCAGCATCCGGTGCCCCCGTGTCCCCGTTCGCTCAACCGCTTTTCCTCAGTCTCGCGCATCTCGTACAATCGTTAACGTAAATTTCGTAATTTTTTGAACTTAGAAACAAAATAGAAATAAAAATAAAGACTGGTAACCACCGTGTCGCGTCGGGTCCGCGGCGCGAGCCTCCTCTCCGCGTAGTTCCGATCGAACGCAACCAGGAGGCGACCGATTTCGCCGGGTTTGCGTCGACGGCGAGGATCGACGCGTGATCGACGCGAAATCTGCGGGAATGGTCGGAGCGAAGGGCGTTCCGTGGACTCGTTTCACTTCGAAGAACGTTCCTGATGTTCGTGAACATCAATCGTTTTCCTTGTTTTTCGCCTGAGCAAGTTCCATCGGCCATGCTCGAAGAAACGAACGAAAGGACAACGTCGGAGAGAACCATCAACGTGTTTTCATTCGTTCGGAAGCGGTACGGCCGTACCTTCGCCCCGGCTCAAAGTGTTTTCCGTGTCGAGAAGCAAAGAAATGCCCAATAATAAGACCGTCGATCCTCGATTCCTTCGCCGATATCATCGTTCGACGTCGGATCTCACATCCGCGATGGAGAAGGAACTCGAACTGATCGGCGCGCACCGCGTGAAACACCCTCTCGATGCGTTGTCTCGCTTACATACGTTTCCTGTCCGTTGTGTACAGTACACATTTATTTCTCATTTAATCAATTTGAATTATTTATTTAGATTTTTCCCTTTTGTATGCCGAATCGGTGTCGCGTCGCGGGGCGACGAGTTCGGGGCTCAGCTTACGATCTAAACAAGTACTCCTTAATATTACGTATATATATATTTTATCCGTCAATCTGTGTATATACGTATGTAGCTGTATGCGTACACGTATTTACATATATATACGGATATAGATTTTATATCATATATGCTTTGTTTCATATTGAAAAGATGAGTGTACTCTTTCGTTATGAATAGGAATAGTATTGATTAATCTGCAACTGCGTATAACATAGACGCGTCCAGCGCATAGAAACATAAATAAATAAATATAAACGATTTGTATTTACATATACTCGGTTTTGTCTGTTTCGGGTTTGTAGCGTGGAGGGTTGAAGGTGGGTCCGGGGGAGGATAGGACGGAGAAAGGAGGTCGGTGAGGGAGATCAGTATATCTGATATATTTCATTCACGGCAGCTATAGCTCTTCGTTTTATATCTCTACTATATATTTAGGTGTATAATAATGCATATTATTGCCCGTGGTTTGATTGTTTAGTTTTCTCTTTCGGTTACGTGGCGTACAGGGTGAAACGGAATTCGCAGTGCGATACTTGAACGGGTTAATTATACGTTTCAAAATCAAATGTATAAATATTTGAATGTTTAAATATTATCTGAAATTAAGAATAAATGTTTCTTTAATCTTCGCACACTTTTCGGGGAATCGTTCTGATAATATTCTGAAAGTTATATTAGATCGAACGAGGATAGTTTATTCGTTACTAGACTATGATGAATATGAACAATTGGTATAAAAGTGAATTATATACGTTCACGAATAGGAACGTAAGCAAACGCTAAAATCTGGTGCGGATCAAGTATAGAAATTAAGATATTTTATTTTAGTAAAATTATGATACTAATACGATGAACGTGGTAGAATTAGGGATGTTGAATTAACCCGCCGATTGTTTCACGGATTTCGACTCACCCTGTGCATAATAAAGAACAAATAAAAACGCGCCATTATCGTGGACGTTCCAGTAGAAAAATAATACTTTGCGGAACACGAGAAAGGAAAACTATGAAGGAACCGTACAACATATTATACAAGCATACATACTTACTTACTCAATGTTATTATGTATGTACAATGCGCTTCAAAAAAGAACGTCCTTCGATACATTATCCAAACTACAGATTGTATGAAATAAGGATGGAAGGAAGATTCGTTCAATTTTGTTCCAGTAACATCGAGGAATCAAAAGAAATTTCATTTCTCAAGAAAAAACAAAACAGATTATCGTCGCTAGTAACCATAGCCGTTGATGCGACACTAAACTTCCAAACAAAAAAAGGAAAATAATGAAAAGAGAATCTTTTTAAAATAGAAAGCGTTCGATTAATCTTTCTTAGTCCCTAATTAACACTTTTTAATAGAAAATAAATGTTTCCCACGCCGCGGGAATTCTTCCCCGTGGATGGTTAAAATTACACTAATCAATTATGCTAATTAACATTAAAAGAGAAGATCTTCTTTCCATTGTTATTCCGCGAAACGAATAATTCTGGAATCAACTCACAGGATATTTACTTTGAAACAGCAGGTAAAATTGTGTGTGCGTGTTGTTGCTGTCTTGATTGAGGTAGAAGCGGTTTCGTATACACTTATATTACATCGTTACGTGGTCGTGAATGTGCGGGAACTGACGACGTTCGTCATCATCAAATCATTCTCGCTTGAAAAGCTCTCGAATGAAAAATAGGAATGTTCTTTTCGAAAAAATCATTTGGTTAATAAGGTAACGTTGTAGCTAACTTCATCTGCGAATCATTTCAATACTTCATTATTGAATTCAAAATTATTGGATCTTTTTAGATAACTAATAAAATAATTTGTCCAATTCGAATGTATACTGATATAATTACTAATACAAAAAAACTGATACAATTACAATTGATATCTTTTTCATTTATGATTTCAATTTTTCGTTGATCGTTTCGTAAGAAAATAATTAACCTTTTACACTCGAGAGGTGACCCTGAGTCAACATTCAATTTGCTACAGCAAAAATTGTAAAATTTGAGACACAATATTAAGCTTTCTACAATGCATGGATGTGTAAGGAACTGAAATAACTTTATTTCTTGATTCATGTATGATTTCTCATTAAATTAGTTTTAAAAAATGTCGTCTATGTGTCATTGAAAACCATTGAACACTTCACACCTCTGGAATTACACTAATGACCATTTTTCGACAAAGGTAGTTACAATGTTACCAAAACGGATCGATTTTTCCAAAACGACATTTTATTTGCACCCGACGCGAGGACGAAAATATCTTTGATGACGACAATCATTGTTAGTTTCTCAAGAAGATAAATAAAATGGCGTACGATGATGGTATTTACCAGGGGACTGGAAAAATGGCGGCAGGTCTTCAACCTCCACCGAAGAATCGCGTAACGTGACGGAATGGATGGAAAAAAAAAGAGAACGATAGAACGATGTGGTGTTTCGCGATGGGGAGATGCGACTTTTCACGGATGACGACTTCGAAAAGCGTATCAGTGAACGTTGAAAAATTGTGAACGTGATCGAATCGGTAATCTCGAACAGTTGTCTCTTAGAAACAATTAGAAGGTTCTATTCTTGGACGATCGAAGGGAATCCATTGATCGAATCGTTAACCCTGCTGCAGTTCTCGATTTATCTACAAATATAAAACAATGTCTAGAAAGTAGAAACATACAGATTGGCAAACGATCTTCGTCTATTTCTCTCAAACTTAAAAGTACTTTTGGAAGAGTGAACATGAATATCAAAATGTTAAACAAACGTAACGATGAGTAACGTAAGTAAAAAGAAACGAAAAAGTTATTAGGTCGGAAAGAATTCGAAGAACGCAGCAAGGGTAAGGGATTTGATCGATATTAATACAGTGACCGTTGCACCGAAGATTTCGGAGTATCCATTGGATAACTTACTAAAAGTTAATTAATACTTAGCGAATAATAGCATCGAATACTCTACGAAGAAAATCTAAACAAGGAAAATCGAATGATTTCACATTACCAACACGATGCAAGCGAGGACTCTCGGGAAAAACTACTTTTTCTATGGAGAATTGTAGAAAACGGTAATAAGGTTGAGTTACGGTGGGACACTCGTTCGATATAAAAAAGATATACAAGATAACAACATTATC